GCTTTCCCAGGCTCATCTCCCAATTCCCTACCAAGAACTGAGCCCCCAAGCTATCCCCCCCCACCCCAGGTGGTCCTAGCAGCCGTGACCTGCAAGGGCTCCGCGCTGAGGCGCGCCGCACACTTTTTGGACCTTTCGAACAAACGCCGGCCTTTTCGCCAGTTTCAACCCCCGAAAAGTCGAACGATAGAATCCCTCATCATATATCGCCACGACGTACAGCATCTTGAAGAAAGCCTTCAAACTTCAAAGCCCGAAGTCCTATGCTCACTCATTATTAATAATATTAAATAATATTAATAATCATTAGTGTTTTTTATATGAATACTAGTCATAACATACATACTGTTCATAAGAGTTATAAGTCAATGCGGGGCGTGGTTGAGGTTTCACACTGTGGAGGGACGAACCTGGGCTGGCCCCACGAGACGTCAAGGGTTTAGGGTTTAGGGTTTACGTTAGCTCGTAGAACAGCGCATGACTAGTGGGGGGGTTAGGGGTAGGGATGCCATTGTCCTTACACCTCCCGGAGTCGCTTTGTAGCCTTGATCCGTGTCCTGTATCCTCCAGGGCGAAGAGCAACTTGAGCAGGATCCTTAAAAAACCAGCAAAAGTCAAGCCTGGACAGTTCCCAAACAGGAGGGTCAAGCACGTTGTCTTTCCGATCCGGTCGGGTGTGCGTTGTGTCCTCTGTCCGACGCGCTTTGTGGACGCGGGAAAGACATCACTCAAGGCACGTGTCCGGGTTGAGTCGAGCATGCAGAAATGATGTTCTGAAGCTTTGGATGCGTACCATCAAAGCCTTCTTTTCCTCAGAGCTACAGAGCCCGCGCATGAGCCAAGCCGGTCCCGAAGATTGTGGGCCGTTTTCGCTATGCCAGGTACGCGGATCGCTCCCTGAGAAGGGACAAGGAGATCCTGCTTCAGGTGTGCCGTGCCATGTGCAGACTCTAGAGGGTATGGGTCTGCAGAAGCTAGAATACGAAAAATAATCATAATAATCGCCTCATCTGGAATTTGAATTCGCTTAGTCCTATCGTGGTGCAGGGCCCAGATAACGCTGCCGAGCATGGCCAGTCGATTCCAGCCGGTGCAGCGAGCCTGAAACGCCTCAGCCACTTCCTCGGGAGTCTGCCTGCCTCTGCCTCGAAGCATCTCAAAGCTACATCTTAAGTTCTGAATTCTAACTTAACTCTGTGAATCCGCGAACCGCAGGCCCCACAACCGAGACCCCCCAACACCACAAGCCCAAAGGCAAGCTTTGTGTTTCATCTCGTATTCAACGTCTTTCGCGTGCCGGTCCAACGCCGACACCGTGACCCCCCGCAACCCCTCTCTAAGAAGCGAGGCTCATCAAGCTCGTCGGGTTTAGGTTTGGGGTCTAGGGTTTAAAGAACATCGCAAACTTGTCACAAACCCTGGCAAGCCCTAGAAGAACCTCGCATACCACGTGTGGCAGGCAGGGTGGCACGGTGCCACGACGTTGCTCGGCCAAAGTTGTGAGGGGTCCCCCCCATGTTTGTTGGGGGCTCTCAGGGCTTCAGCCTTCGGATTGAGCGTTGGCTCCTATCATGCCAGACCGCCAAACCGCCAAGCCAAGTCATGGGTCTTAACCTCGTACTCAGCACCCCTCCTGTTGCTTGGGGCTGCGTGTGACTACATGGGCTCTAGGGACCAGGGATGGCAGTTGGCCGTGCGCCCGTGCACTTCCAACCGAAAGAGGGCCCCGGACGTAGGATGTCTCTGGAAAGCGCTCTATCGCACTCTAACCCCAGACCCTAAACCCCAAACCCCAAACCCCAAACCCCAAACCCCAAACCCCAAACCCCAAACCCCAAACCCCAAACCCCAAACCCTGGCCTTGAGCCCAAAGTGCCTCCAAGAGGGTGGGGTGCCGCAGGTGGGTGTCTTCCGGCTGGGGCGACTACAGCCCAGACGATGTCAGCCCCGCAGAACTGGAAGTGTCGCGTTACATACTAGCTAAGTGGGTAACCTTTCTGATTTTAAGGTATATATACATATATATGCATAAAAATAAATCACAATAATAGTAATAATAGTAATAATAGTAATAATAGTAATAATAGTAATAATAGTAATAATAGTAATAATAGTAATAATAGTAATAATAGTAATAATAGTAATAATAGTAATAATAGTAATAGTAGTAATAATAGTAATAATAGTAATAATAGTAATAATAGTAATAATAGTAATAATAGTAATAATAGTAATAATAGTAATAATAGTAATAATAGTAATAATAGTAATAATAGTAATAATAGTAATAATAGTAATAATAGTAATAATAGTAATAATAGTAATAATAGCAATAATAGTAATAATAACAATGATCCTACCATAATTGAAAGGTTAGCCGGTTTTGGCCCAGGGTACTCAGCAACTAGCGTCAAGTGCTTTAGGGGTTTGGGGCTTCTGGCGTAGGACTGTGGGATGTGTTTCGTTTACCCCTGTTTGTCTGGGAATGGGGAACTTGTTTCATGCAAGTACCACAAATGTGTGTGTGCGGGGGCATGATTTGAGACCCTGCTTCCTTGCAAAACCCTGCAACCCAAGCTCTCAAGCTGCTTCAAGACTCCTGACTCCCGGTTGTAATATCCCTGAAGTTGTACTTTGCAGAGCTCCCGAAGGTCGCACCCAGCCAGATCACAAGACTTTGGGCTAAAGTCTATAGTTCTCAGCTTGAGGGCATCAGCTGATGAGGTTTAAGTGCGTTCAGGATGCGTGCGGGTGGGCTGTGAGGGTATCGATGCTAGGGTCCAAAGCGCAGGCACTCGCCAAGTGAGTCGTCCTGCGTTGCCATCCGTTTCACCGTACGCGTGCGCAGTGCCGCCCCTTCTGCCCTCCCTAAACCCTAAACCCTAAACCCTAAACCCTAAACCCTAAACCCTAAACCCTAAACCCTCAACCCTAAACCCTAAACCCTAAGACACATGGCTTGAGGTAGGGTGGTCCGGTCCAAACTCTGAGTTTGGAGCTCAGGTCTTGTGTAGATACTATCGGCTCCAGCTCCCGGCTATGGAGACCAAAACCTACGCTGCGCCTTCTCTCGGCGTCTGCTCAAAGTCGTTGGCCGGTTGAGGGACTCCGGGTTTTAAGAGCTGGGTTCGATCAGGACACTGCAGTTCTCTGGAGGGTGTAGGTGTTTGGAGGGCTTCAAGGCTTCTTTTCTTTCACTTCGTGACCACATGCTGCTTTTCCTCTCCCTGACCATGGTCTAGACAAGCCTATGGTTGGCTGCTTCAGCAGCAAGACTTAGCAAACCATCAGCTTACCTGCGGACCGAAACAGGACATGTAAGATCAACATCTTCACCTGCGCAGGTCCACCAGGCCAACGCGCGAGCTGCTCCGTAAGAAGGTCTTCAAAGCAACTACAAGCCCGACCCCGGTGAAGAACCCTAAGCCCTAAACCCTAAACCCCAAACCCCAAACCTCAAACCTTGTCAGAGGCGCTTACGTCTAGCGGCTAGCGGTACACATGAGCCAGAAAGGTCAATCTCCTTGCTTTCAGGGCTCTGGGCTCTTTGGACTCCCAGTTTAGGTTCCCTTCAATGTCGGAACAGGGTTGAGGGTTTAGGGTTGAGGGTTGAGGGTTTACGGTTTAGGGTAAGTCCCACAAGGAGACCTTGCAGGTCTTAATGAGGCTAATGAGGCAACTTCATCCATGGTGGGCTCAACACCTTGCAACCCTGAAAGGCCTGTAAGATGCAAGCATGGTGTAGAGTTGTTGCGGGCCTCCCGATTCTCGCCTTTCAGCACCCCTGCGCGCGCTTCGGCATCAGCCAGTGTCACCGGGATGCGCCTGAGTTACCAAGCGTAGCGAAACGGAAGCATCCCTTCTGCTACCCCATGTGCCATTGGCATTCCCGAGGTCCTAGGTATCATTTTCGGCCTGAGGGTTTTCAACTCGATGGATCCACAACAAGTCTTCGATGGTTTCGTTTCGTCTTGAGAGTCAGCGCTTTGCAGACCGAAGAACACCGTTTCACGAGGCGGAGCAAGCAACAAACATGCCCACGGGCTTGTCTCATGCACGTGGCATTTGAGCGCAGCATTCCAAGAACTTGCCACAAGAAACCTTGCTTTGTTGGGATGGCGCGGCTTAAGGCTTATATAAGCTTTGCATTCCCCAGTGGCCGCGGAACCCTAAACCCGAAACCCTAAACCCTAAACCCTAAACCTGAAACCCTAAACCCTAAACCCTAAACCCTAAACCCTAAACCCTAAACCCTAAACCCTAAACCCTAAACCCTAAACCCTAAACCCTAAACCCTAAACCCTAAACCCTAAACCCTAAACCCTAAACCCTAAACCCTCAACCATAAACCCTAAACCCTAAACCCCAAACCCTAAACCCTAAACCCTAAACCCTAAACCCTAAACCCAAACCCTGAACCCTGAACCCTAGGTGGTGTGTAGGGATGTGTGGTCAAGGTTGGTGTGGAGTGGGAGCTGCGGGCTCCTGCACGCTAGCTGTGGCCTCTGAGTGTGTGTGTGTGTGAGTAGTGCAGGATGTTCTTGAAGCTAAGGGTTTAGGGTTTAGGGTTTAGGGTTTTAGGGTTAGGGATTCAGGGTTTAGGGTTGAGGGTGAGGGTTTAGGGTTCAGGGTTTTAGACCCTAGGGGGTTTGAAAAGACGGCCTCCTAATTCGCCGAGGCTGACTACTCAACGGAGTAGTCTGCAAGTCGCATGTTCCACGCGGACACTCTTGCCAGTGCGGAAAATGGCCCCACAGCACATCCGCAAAGTTGTGAGTATCCAACAAAGTTGTGAGTATCCGCCATCTTACCCTAAACCCTAAACCCTAATTTGCCCATGCGCTCTATGCCCTAAACCGCGCGAATGCGCAGAAATCAGTACAGTAGGACACGAAGCCAAGTCCCCTGCAACCGGCTGGGTTTGTTGGCAAGGGCGCAGGGGCGCTGCTCACAAGAGCTAGTCTAAGCCAAAGCCGAAGGCCACAACTACGAACCCGCAGGTGCCGGCCCGGCTACCGAGCCCTGGGATGATGATGAGGCCCCCGTGCTGAATCAGCTCTATTCTCTTGGGGTCCAACATCTTCTTGACAGCCTGATTCCTCAATCCCTGAAGCTTGAGACAGCCTCTAAACCCATGCAAACCCTGACAGACTCCACCAATCGCCACCAGAATCAGGTAACAAGCAGACAAGCCGGACGTGGGCTCAAATTAGAAGCCATCTTCAGCTCCTCGTGAAACCCTCCCTAAACCCTGAAGCCCCAGACCACGAAACTGCAATCGGGTCGTTCTCTGAATCTGCACCGCCAGGAGGAGGTGCCGCCGCTGGCGCACTGGCTGCGGGTCTGTGGGACACTTGTGGGGAGTTTTTTTTGATGCGAGTTTTGCAGATGTGCTATGTGCTTTCTGTAGGGTTCTGGAAGTGCGAAAGATCTAATGATCTAGTTGATAAGGCCGGCAGTGTGGATAAGACTGGCAGTGGCCTCATCCGTGTCACGGAACAGTTGTAACAGGTGAGACGAATTTCATCCACCACGAGCGTAGGCGATATGGGCCGTCCACTTCACCAGAAACCCTAAAACCATCCAAGCCTTGCGACAAACCCCCTCTGCCCGAACCCAGCCTGGGCTCGGAAAGTCCTAAACCCTAAACCCTAAACCCTAAACCCTAAACCCTAAACCCTAAACCCTAAACCCTAAACCCTAAACCCTAAACCCTAAACCCTAAACCCTAAACCCTAAACCCTAAACCCTAAACCCTAAACCCTAAACCCTAAACCCTAACACCACCAAGGCCCCAGCTCTGACTCCCGGTCCGATGGTCCGAGAGTCCGAAACCCCCATGCTAAGAAGCCCAGCTGTGCCGCGAAGCTGGGCGCCAGAACAGAAGCAAGCTGTCTGAAAGGCTTTTGGGGGCCAGAACCTAAACCCTAAACCCTCAACCCTCAACCCTAAACCCTCAACCCTAGAACTGTTCTTGACACCCTAGAAGTAGGCAGAAGCAAGAACCCGCTTACCTGCTCCCGAGGCATCCTACGGCTCAAGGTCGACTGCGTTTCCGGGTTTAGTTGTCCACTCGTCTTAGGGGTACTTGGAAAGAATTTTTAATTTGTGGGTACTATAATTCCTAAGAAACAGCAAAAACTATCATTTTTGCTGGGGTTCCAAGTTCAGTATAGTCGTGATGTGCTAGGAGCTGTGTGTGTGTGTGTGTGTGTACGCCAGATGTTGAAGAGAAGCGAGCTCCAGTTCGCAAGCCCCTTCAAGATCATGTCAACCTAGCTCAAGGGACGGCCTATTTTTTGGGTATGTTTTTTATCATGTATTTTCATTTCGTTTATTGTGATTATTACTACTTTTTTTGTGGGGTGGGGAGGTGGGATATCTTTTTTTTTGTCTGTGTTCTTCGTGTTTTCCTAGGAGAACCTCTATTTCTTCTTTTTTGCGAGGAAATCTTCCGAATCCTTAGGTTTTGGCAAAGAGACGCTGCAAGATATGAAGGAAAAGAGGAAGAGAGGAAGGACGCAAGCAAGCAAGAAGGCAGGAAGGAGGAATCAAGAAAGAAAGAAAGAAAGAAAGAAAGGAAGAAGCATTGGTAAAACCAAGAACATCCATTAATTCCTGATCTGAGACTCTTGAAAATCATGTTTTCTTTTGGATTTCATTGGGTTTAACAATGTTTTCGTAGGCTCGAAAGCAGTGGTAAAACCGATACTTTCCATGAATTCATGATTTTTATGGGCTTATTTGTTTTACCCATGTTTTCATACGCCGGAGCTGTAAACATTGGTAAATCTAATGGCATCCATGAATTTCCTGAGAAGAATCCGATGAACATGAGTAAGAGTTCGATTAAAACTAAAAGTTCTTATTAATAAATTTAATATGGCGCCCCAGTAAAATATGGAGAGGATAGAGGTTTCTCAGGGAGAACCAAGGAAACAAACCCAAAATTGAGAATTCGATTAGAATTACTTAGTAGGGTTCTTATCAAATGAATATGAATCCCATGAAAATTAGCAGCAGCGCCTCTAACACAGAGGGAAGAGAGGTTTGCCTAGGGAAACCAAGGAAACAGACCAGAAAGGAACCCCAAACAAAACCCCACCCTAGGCCCAAAAAGCCCATTTTTCACAAATCCCACCGAAACTAGATCAGCTGTGGAGGGAGTCAATGAAGTCTTTGTATAGCTTCGACTTCATCTAACCGCAACGCAAGCAGCACTGCGTAGATCCCACTGCTATGGCCGACCGCGACGCTTGCTTGGCTGGTGCCAGCATGGCTGTGTCAGGCCCGAGACATCATAATCCCAAAAGTCCAAGGCCCCCATGATTCGTAAAGCTTTCCGAATTGCCACATCATCGTCATCCCCAAAGCCCAGCAGATACTGCTTGGACAGCAAGTCCCCAAGCATCGTTAATGCAACCTCTTGCATTCCCGGACGCTTCACCCAGACATCTGTTCCGCGATGCCCTGGACTGATAATTCACGCGGCATCCGAAGCCTCAAGCCCTTCAAGCTCTTTGATCCCCTCAACGCCTCACGATGCGCTCCACACAACCTCTTCATGCCCTATCCTCAGCCCTGAAGCCCCCTGAACCTCCAAAAAGCCAATCCGCCTCGCATCTTTGTGACTCTTGCGCAGGGGCCCTGCAGGAGGAGGCAGCAAAAGCAGGTGCCAACGGAAAGGTTGCGTGCAGAGTTTAGGCTTGGCTCCTGCCCCATGGTCTAGATGTCGCTGCTGAAAGCGTGGACATGTAGGAAGTCACGGTGTGTTGAAGTTAGTTTGACGTGTAGCTGTAGCTCAAACTTTCCGACATGCTCTAGAATGCTGCTCTTGGCAGCTGCGCCTGCACACCGCATCCTGTGGTTTGACGCCGAGTTCTGGATTTAGGGCTGCGGATTGGGCGGGCCGCAAGTATCTGAGGGTAGTTTCATGGGCCCCTGGTGTGGTCCCGAACCTCCTTTACCCCTAAAAGCCCCTAACATTCACCCCCCAAGCACACACCCGCGAACCCTTCCGACCCTCTTCCACTCCTCCATCTCAAGCCTGCAAACGCCGCCAAAAATCACGACGCAATCGCCCGCAGAGGCCCCACCGCTTTGCTCCAGCTGGTGCAGCTGGTGCCAGATCTCAGCCATGGGCCTCTGCGCGAGGCTTCGGTGTGCTTCTCACGTAGATTCTTCGGTGCTTTGGGGTTTAATTAGGGTTCAGGGATTAGGGTTTAGGGTTTGTTTGGGGGCTTTTGGGTGTACTGGGATTACTGTAGGGTTTACTCTGGTTTGCTAAATAAATGTAGTTGAGGTTTCAGATTTGCAGAGGCTGTTGTTGTGCTCGCTGCAATATCGGGGTCCCCCATGATCTGGTTTGGGGGCCTGGCAGTTCCAAATTGCGGACTCTACTTTCAGGGTTAAGGGTTAAGGGTTGGTGGCATGCACATGGGGCTTGGGGTTTGCGACTTGAGATCGGGGGCTTCATGATGTTTCATGGCGCTCCTGGAAGGATTTGGGGTGTCGCCGAGCGGTGGGAGAATGCCAGCACCATGATATGGCAAGCGTTGCCACACACCATTGACTAAATGGATCGACTACATGACGTGCGGTCTAGTTCATGGCGGCATTGAAGGAGGCGAGTTATTGCGACTTTTGTGCTCCGTCATCGCTTGATTCCTGGGGAGGGGTGCATTGGGTCCAGTTGTTGTCAGGGCTCGGGTCGAGCTGTCCAAAAAGAGGTTGATAGATAGGTTTTGTGCCCGACGCAGCATATTCAGCAATGCGCCCTTGACCCAAGAGAACACTGCAACAATGCTAAGCTGGCTTTTGGAGCAAGAGCCTTTTGCCGGCAAGCTTCATGCCTTGAGCCTGAGCAGGCGACTGCGCAGATGGTGATCAATGCCCTTCTTCGGTGCCAGGCGCAGATTCGCTGATGTTGGGCTAGTACAACGGCAACAGTGGGCCCAGACCCCTTTACGTAGTATAGCTGCAGAGCTGCAGTGCAGGTGAGAGCGTGGAGGCGTTTTGGCTGGGTTTTGAGGGTATCCACGGGTACTTGAGAGGAACCATGTCGAAAGAAGCCGAAGCCCATATGCCCCTTTGCTCACACTCAGGCTCCACAAGCCCATATACAGTTTCGAGTCCTCCTGTGCTTCTGTACCATCCTTTGCTCTGACTCCCGGTCTCTCCCGGTTCTCTCAAGCCTTAGCCGGCAGCCGCGAGGAGGACGTGCAAAGATGCGTCCAGCTGCTGGTGAAGGATGGTGCAGGGCGGGTCCAGATGAGAACGTCCCCAGAATATCGATGCTCCGAAGCCCTACTCAAACCATCTCAAACCCCCCAAAACTGGTGGCAACGTTTCGGGTTCGGCACCCTAGGCTTCTAGGGGGTTTGGCAGCGTCCCATCAGCTTTGGAACCCTCATGCCTTAGCACCCTAAGCCATGAAGCCCAAACCCGAATCTGAAACTCCAAGCACTAACTCCACTGAGTCCTGAAGCCTAAGCGTTATCAGCTCCAATTTCCCTTTCTTTCCTCGTCCGTGCGGCGCTGCTCATCCCCCAGACCCTTCATCGCTACCCCCGTGCTGACATGACCCCGCTGGGCTTCTTTTTTTTTGTCGGAGGGGAGAGCATGTGGGGAGGGGGGGGCCTAGCTCAGTGCGGTTCGGGACCTCGAAGCCTCTACGATTCACATTCTGGGAGTGTCAACCGCTCTGTCGGTCTTCGGATTCAATGCATGGCACGAAGCTTCCACCTGCGGCGAGGCCGTGGGAACCACGGACCAGGAGCCAGCGCTCTGCCTCAACGCCGCGTGGGCGCTGAATGCAGTGGCGGCTCGGCTTCGGAAGGGGAATGTGTTGCAGTCTGGGTCTTTGTGGGAAATGGCTTCAGTGAAGCTCTAGAAGCCTGTAGGGGGTAATAAACGATGGGTAGCTTGTTTGGGGTCTGGGCTTGAGATTTAGAGTGGTTGTTGGCGTGGGTTGCTTGCTGGCTCAGCTCTTTTCTTTGACAATTCCCACCACACCAGTATCATGTTCCTTGAGGCGTGGGCTGAGGTTCCATGCTCTTGGGCTTAAAGCTTAGATCTGTGTGGAGGGATTCCGTCCCAAAGGGAACCATGCAGCTGGTGGAGAAGCATGTCCGAAGGTCGGATGCCTCTAGAGAAGAAGTGGGTGAGTGCAATTTTTATTTAGGGCCGGTGCCCGTCTCAACATGCAGAAGGTCCGAGGCCTGATAGTCAGGGCATGGTCCTATTTGGTGGGCCCACTGGCCCGTCTCTGTTGAAACCAAACCCACACTCGCTGACACCAGCCCTGATATCACAAAATAAAGATAAATAAAGTGCAAATAGACAT